ATTTCATCCATTGAAGGGTCATATTCTGCATATGACATGCCATAAGGCCGTAGGCCATCCTAACGCCTCTAAATCATCATTTTACACATGCTTGCATGTTCATATCTTAAAAAATACATTAATTCCAACTTTTGAATTATTTTTGGAGGATTTTATGAATTTTCATGAAAAAAATTCGTGTATTGGGTTTCATTCAAAGTTCTCTTTTGATTTAGCATGCAAATGTTGTTCATTTAAAGTCCAATGATGTTTTGAAGCTTGTTTGAATCAATTAAAAAGCATGCATAACCTTAGAATTGATCCTAATATCTTTCCCTTGGATTACAGTGAGTTATAGCAGACATTTTTGCAACAGCAGGGTCCATCAGTCGGCTGATGGCAATCATCAGTTGACTGATGAATGTTTCGTAGCATTCCAATAGCCGTTTGAGAGAAAAATGGAGTTTCAGCCGACTGATGATTGGGTTCAGCCGGCTGATGATGGAGTTTTAGTCGGCTGGTACTGTAGCACCAGCCGGCTGATCCTCCCTGAAGCATGGTTCACTCTCAGCATCTCGGATAGAATTTTTGGGTCAACTTCAGAGGGCCATAACTCCTTCATTTATGATCCAAATTAGGTTATTCTTGAGCCTAACCTCAAGATCTTGAAGTCATCTTTCCAATGACACCAAGAAAACTCAAAAAATCCAATCATACTGAAAGTTATGACTATTTTAGTGAGATAGGGTCGTGAAATCTCCAAATCGGAGAATGCTTCTTATTCTAAAATTCATATCTTTTCCGTCCGGACTCCGAATCGGGTGATTCTTGAGTCTAAATTCATTAATTTTTTGTTGTCTTTCCAATGGTATGCTTGGTAGCATCTATTTCTTTATGACATGACCATTTTGCCCCTAGGTTTATTATTATCCATTTTTGAGTCGTCGTTTCCACATTTGTTTTCCTTGGGTTTCGTGACTTCATTGAGGGTCATGTTGGTGCCTTATAAATGTGTAGTATCTCTAGAAACCATTGTTTCACTTTAGCTTCTGCATTCTTGATTCATTCTTTGATTTTCATTCGGTTTAATATAGGACGCACTGGCCTAAAAACCAGGGCCGTCGCAAGTACCACAAGGCCTTGAATCTGTGCGATGTGAGTTCATGATGATGCTTCCAACAAAGTTAACAAAACATACATAACATTCAAAACATGCAAATCGTACAGTGCTTTGAATACAAAACATACAAGTCCAACATTAATAATAAATAAGTACAAAGTTAACAAAATAACAAGCCACATTCCAAAAAAATATAAAATTCATAACCAATATTAATAATAACATTCATCCTCCAAAACAACAGATAAATTGTTGGTCATTCATCCTCCAATCTCCATGCTCCTCATTCCTACAAAAGGGATATGACAATATCAAATTATAGATAACTTGTTAGAAAAAAACATGAAATATATAAATCATTTGTCAAAACTATCTCATATACACATAATTGCTAGAGGACAGAGGACGGCGCGATTAGGGGTTGAAGATTTGGATTTGGAAATTGAAAGATAATTTGATTTTTTGAACAATCTGGGAAAAAAAAAAAAAAAAAAATTGCAAAACAAGAATATCAGTCTTACAGTCTTGATTAGTTGATCTAGAAAAAAAAAAATTATTTTTATGAGATGACTCACAGTTTCTGCGAATGGAACTTTTGGTAGTCTTGCTTGATTCGAAAAATCTGTGAGAAATATACAAATTAAACACTGGAATCATAAGTTTTCCTTTCCTTAAACACAACCATAGTTGCAGAACTTCTCCTGCAAAGAAGAATCACATGTAATGTATGTGTGTATATAACATTATATATATTATATATATCTCAAATATCCTGTAGATTACTAGAATCTCAACAACCAAAAGCAATAATACAGTAACAAAATCTAGATCTGAACTTAATTTTTCAGAGATGACTCACAGTTGAGAGATAGCTGGCCAGCGGCTGAAGCTTGCAAACGGCGAATCCGATCTGGAACAACGAGCGATGGAAACTGATAAGAGGGGAGGCAGACTTTTGTTTTTGGAAAGTTAGGGGAGGCAACTTTGAGAATAGGAGTAAATAAGACAAGAAGTAAGGAACCTAGGGTTTCTAATTTTCTATAGAAAATATATATTGCCAAAAACAGTGTTCCACTTTAATTCTTTATTATTATTATTTTTTTTATTTTCTTGTTTTTCTTAATTTCCTTAATAATATAATAATAAGTTTTTCTTTTTATTGTATATATATATAATTATATATAGCTAATGTTTCAGTTTTGATTATTTTTGTTGATATATGTTTTCATTGTGACATGCAATGCTTGTTAGGAGATACGATATATGTGTGTGTGTGTGTGTGTGTGTGTGTGTGTGACTATATGAGTCCTACTATTTGTCCTGATAAATAAAAATTTATTACATCACCTAGTTAACGTGGCTATACATGTGTCAAATATAATGGGACCTATTTATAAATAGAAGGTAATTAATTATTTAAAAAATTGTAATCTCCTTTCTAGATTTTATCTTTATTACCTCACCTAGTTAACGTGGCTATGCATGTGTCAAATATAATGGGACATATTTAAAAATAGAAGGTAATGGGACCTATTTAAAAATAAAAGGTAATTAACTATTTGGAAAGTTGTAATCTCCTTTCTATATTTTATCTTAATCTAGTATCTTTATTGTCTGTTAAAGTTTCAATCAGTATATATATCAAATTATATATATATTTGTTTTATGTATACATTACACTGCATATCTGTAAGGACTCTTTATATATAATTAGATTGTGTATCTCTTTCGTTTATATGTAAAAGATTGTGTTTTTGATCATTAATATATATCTATTACTTTGATAGGCATTGATATATACATTTGTTTTATGTATACATCACATTGCGTATCTGTAAGGACTCTTTATATATAATTAGATTGTGTATCCCTTTCGTTTATATGTAAAAGATTGTGTCTTTGATCATTAATATACATCTATTACTTTGATAGACATTGATATATATATTTGTTTTATGTATACATTACATTGCATATCTGTAAGGACTCTTTATATACAATGAGATTGTGTATCTCTTTCGTTTATACTTCATATATAAAATATTGTGTCTTTGATCATTAATATACATCTATTACTTTGATAGTTATTAGTGATTAAAGAATTTAAAACTAATGATCTATCAGGGAAATAAATAAATAAAAAAAATGCAAAGTATTGAAAAATTATAAAACATTGCAATTTTTGTAGAGGAATCCCTCTAATAATGAGTCAATAATACAATTCGGATATCAAAATCATCAATAATATCACTTTCAGTAGAGTCAATAGAAGTAACCTTTTTTATTTTTTGGATCTTATCAAAAGAGATAATTTATTCAATAGAAGTAACCTTTTGAAAAAGAAATGATTCCTATATTCAATAATTCCTATTTTGAAAAAAAAAAATTGGTATTTTTTTATGGCCAGTAAAAAGAAATAATTTATTCAATAGAAGTAACCTTTTTATTTTTTGGATCTTATCAAAAATGATAATTTATTCAATACAAATAATTTTTTTTGAATCATCTTTTTTCATATATATATATATATATATATGTTTTTTTGAATCTTGACAAAAGATATAATTTCTTCAATAAATAAAAAATTTTGGGGTTTCATTTCTTCCATTTTTTTTTTAATGTTTACTTTTTTCTTCTTTTTTTTGTCCGGTCAAAAGAGGCAATTTATTCAACATATATATATATTTATATTTTGGTCCCGTAAAAAAAATTAATTGATTTTTTTGTTTTATCAAAAGAAACCTAAAATATTAAATATTAGATATAAGGAGAGGAAAATTGAAACGGTTATTGTGTCATTTAAAAAGTAATAATTATTTAATTATAAAGTTAAGGTTATAATTGACATTTCATTTAAGATTGTAGTGTAAGTGTAGAAAAACAGGCTGCAAATATGGCCTATGTTATAGTTTTATATTATGTATATACTATTAGTATTTATATACTTTACTAAGCAAAATATTTCACGAGCATTGCTGAAGCAGAAATGGTAATACTTGTCTCTTTCCTCTAAATGGTCCAGAGTTCAAATCTCTTTCAACCCAATAGTTTCTTATATTTTATCAAGTTCTTTCAGCAGGTTGAACGGGCTTTAGCATTTCGGGCGGGTTCGGGCTTGATAACATATCTACCCAGCTCGGCCCGAATTGAATTGATAGCAATAATATATATATATATATATATATATATATTATTTGAACCAAAATAATATAATTAAAAATTAAACAAAACTAAATTTTTAGAATATTTTTCATATAATTTTGTGAATTTTTGAAATGTTAAAGACTCGCCGAAAGAGAAATGTTGAAGATTGAAAAAGTGATGGAAATTAACAATGCATTTGTTTGTGGTAAAGTCAAAAGTGTGAAAGAATATCTTGTATTTTTGTGAAATGTGGAAAAAAATATAATATTTTCTGAAAAAGTGATGGAAATTAACAATGCATTTGTTTGTGGTAAAGTCAAAAATGTGAAAGAATATCTTGTATTTTTGTGAAATGTGGAAAAAAATATAATATTTTGAGAAAGTGGGAAAAAATATTATATTTTTTGAAAAGATTATATATATATATATATATATATTTTTTGTGTAATGTCCGGAATGTTCATTTGATTATATATGTATATAGTATATATATGTGCAATGTCAAATTTTAGTGGGGATAATTATACAAATATAAAAAATTTTTCATATAAAATTAAAAAAAATTTAAACAATTAAAAACTAAGTGGAGGCAGCCGCCTCGACTTGTCCTTTTGTTGCTACACCACTGCTGATATAGGTGTAATAATAACAAAAGGTATAAGTGTAATTGTACCAGCTCTCTTTAAAGAACGCCGGTAATAGCCCTTCCGTTCCCTCCACTTTTTCCCATATTTGGGGCCTAAACTACGTCGTTTTTTTTGGGGCCATTAACACCACTGTATTCTACTTTCCCAATTCATTTTGCGATAGCCCTAACCTCGATCTCCTTCAGCCGCTCTCTCTCCTTCCATCACTGCTCTCTTTCCCTCCATCACCGGTCATCACAGCTCTCTCTCCTTCCATCAGTTTGCGTTCCAAAACCAGAATTTTAATCAGAAACCAACGCTCTAAAACTGGTGGCTTGGTTTAGAGAGACAAAGTCATTGCTACTGCACACACAGAGAGAGAAAGAGTCGTCGTTGGGGGTTTCCAAAACCTCGTCTACACTAACAGACCGGACCATAATTTTTTTTAGGTTAGTGACTGTTCGCCTTCTGATTTTGATTACCTGTGTAGATCACTGTGCCTAAGATTGTTGTTATTCTGGTGATAATATTGAGTAAATTTAGGGTTTTATGTGGATTTGTTATTTGAAGTGTTTTAGTTTTCGGATTGCATTTGTGGATTTTGATGTGGTTGATGTTGATTCGTTGTTTCAGTTTGTAGTTAGGAGTATCTGTTTTCTTACGTTTATAGTTTATGCTGGTTTCTTTAATATGGTATAAACTATTTTTTTTTTTTACAAAATATTTGATATCCAAAAAAATGCACTACCCTGTAGAATTTAATATTATTTTCCCAGATTTTTTTCAGAAATTATTTTTCTCCTGGTGCTTTTTTATTTTTATTTTTTATCTTCAATTGCATAAATGAAGATCATGGCGTTTAGGAATCAAAATCCTCTCTGGCCACTTTTCCCGGTGCCTGTGGTTGGTGAATTTCACCTCAATCAATGGTGAATTTTGCTATTATAATGGTGTAATTTCACCCGTAAGCATATAGTAGTCAAATTCAGACAAGTGAAATTGGTGAAATTCACCCACCACAGGGAACTTGTGGGAAAACAGAAAACATGACTGGAGAGGATTTTGATCCGGCGTCAAGTCCCTCAAGTTTTCCCTTATGCTCATAATGATGTTTTTTTTTTTTTTTTTTTTCGATTCCACCATGTTGATTTTTAAAAAGTATATATTAAAGTGTGCTTGTTCTTGATTTTAGTTACTATGTTTTTTTTGGTCAGAAAAGAGAAACAGTTGGAGATTTGGCATTGCTGTTGTGGAATTCATTTAATACCATTTATATACTCTTAAAGGTATGCTCTTGCATGTGCCTTGACTTTTCTAGAATGATTCTTCACAATTATATAATTTTTTAAATTAAATTTGGTTAATCCTTTTTAATGTGAGACCTTCTTATTGTTGAGATTCAACTTTTAGCCTATAATAATAAATCATTAGATAATTAGAGTTTAGAATGACCGGAACAGACATTTTTCGTTTTCACAATTTTGATTTTTCCGACTTTTTTGTCCCGGTGAAAGGTAAGAGTATCTGATTTAAAGACTGTACAAACAAGGCAAAAGCCAATACAGCAGCATAAGCTAAAACAAGGCTGAACCAACAAGGGGCACAGCCAGAATGTCAGGCCTTACAAAGCAATGGCTATTAGGATCTTACATTAGGGAATTCATAATATCTATGATATTACTGATTGATATCACTTGTGAGTGAAATTTTTGAGAGATGCAAATTCATTTTCTTTTTCTTTTTCATTTTTTAATCTCTTCTATATTTTTTGGTTTAATTACATTTCAACCACTGGTAGAAATTCTTGCCAGGTCAAATGTACAACCACAATATTGAGGAAGACCTACTAGCCTTATTCTTTATTAAAACCATTTTTATATTTCTATTTTATCAAAATGGATTACTTGAATCATGTGACATTTCTTGGAGAATTAGTGGACAAACTTAGCAAAACATGGAGTGATTATGTTTTCTAATTATTTATTAAGTGTAAGAGAACAATGAATCTTTGATTTTGGTGCACAAGGTCGTGCCTTGGGAAATGCAAGTTAAGTTACTCTTAAAAATATATTTATTGTAATAAAATATAATATATAAATCCCGTTTTATTAGAGGAAGGTCATTTCATGTTATTGCAATTTTCTTACTACATGTTTGTTTTTGAAATTGGCTCTCACTTTTACATCTTATTTTGCATCTGCAATCTCATATCACTTGAAAATCCCCCTCTGCCATTTCTATTATGACATTTGCTTTCAATCTTCCATCTCAAATTGTATTGGTTCTCTCTTACATCTCAAATTGTATTGGTTTACTTTTCTTTTCGAATTGGTTCTCTCTTACATCTCTCAGTTTTGTGAGACACGTGCACACATCTTCCAACTCTTGCATTCACTTAGCACTCAGAACCACCGAAGCAAAGCCTTAAGCAATTTTTTGGCATTATTAATCAGTTCAGCTTTATTAGGGCCTAGTAAAGCTGAATTGATTAATAATGCCAAAAAATCTGATGAGGAGGCACGTGCTGTACGTGTAGAGTTGCAGGACACCATTTCAAAAATGCAAGCTGACATTGACGACTAGTTGGAAAATTTACGAGCCAACCAAATTGGAAAATTTACAAAAACAGGTGGCTATGCTAATGCAGATTCAACAACAAAATTGTAGTGGACAGGTATATTTATTATTAGTTTTACTCTTTACTGAATATATGTTTACTTATATCAAGATTTTATGTATAATTTTGTTTTGTTATTTTGAAGGGTTCTGATTCTTTAAATGCTCCTAGAGTATCCCCAAATTAATTTTCTAGTCATGCCAATTTAGTTAAGGTTATGAACTTTAATTTCTCTTATATGTTAAATTATCATTTATTATAATGTGCGCTTAATGAATCTATAAAAAATGTAGGGTAATACAAATCAAATGGGCAAGAAGAGTTGTTGAAGTTGAAGCTGAAGATGGGGTCGTGGCTGTGCTTTCTGAATTTCCTTCGCCTTGGATGGTTTCTTTTTGAAAAACTTCTGCTACATTTGTCAAAAATTCTTAATTCTTTTTGTGCGACATTTAGTAGCTTTATCTAGACAATTTGGATGGTATTTTCATAGTGGCAGGTTAGGTTGTGGTTGTAGTAGTAGACATTTTGGCTTTTTGGATGACATGTTTTGGGTTTTGGTTGACATTTACCAGCTTTATCTATTAGTAGACAATTTGGATGGTTTTTTTCATATTGGCAGCAGGTAAACTTGTGGTTGTATTATGTAAAACAATTTGGATGATATTTTTCATATTGGCAGCAGGTTTAACTTGTGGTTGTATTATGTAAAAACAATTTGGATGGTATTTTTATATTGCAAACTAGTGTTATATTGGATGACATTTAGCAGCTTTAACTTGGTAAAGATATTTTTACAAAAACAACAATAAAGGGGAAATAAATAAATAAATAACATAAAACGACCCTTTACCAGCTTCTTAAAGAAGTGTTGGTTAAGATCCTCTGTCAACGCTTCTTAAGGAGCGCTGGTAAAGGGTCATTACCAGCGCTTTTCTACGAAGTGCTGGTAAAGGGTCATTACCAGTGCTTTTTTAGGAAGCGCCGATAAAGGCCTACCAACGTTGGACTCACCAACGGTCTTCTATGAGTGCTGATAAAATGTTGGTAATTGAATTACCAATGGATTTTTTTTTTTTTTTTTTAGTGTTTTTGAGCGCTGGTGAAGAGTATAACTATTGTAGTGATCTGTTCCATCATCAACATGAGGGACTTTTCCCAAGATGCACTTCATATGCCTCTCTTCTCATTTTCTCTAAAAGAAAGAGCAAAGTATTGGTTGAACTTTCTTGTTGCAAATTCTATTACTTCGTGGGTCTAATTGCAACAAGAATTTTTAAAAAAGTACTATCCTGTGAGTAAGACCAATCAAATGCGTCTATCCATTCTTAGCTTTCCTAAATTATTGGAGAACAATTTTATGAGACATAGGAAAGACTTAAAGATTTTCTAAGGAAGTGTACGCACCACCAAATTCCAAAGTGGCAATTAGTGCAAGCCTTTTATGATGGTTTAACAGAACCACATAGACAATTAATTGATTCTTCGTGTGGGAGCATGTTCATGTCTAAAAATCCTGATGATGCTTGGACTCTACTTGAGAATATAAGCGAAAATTCTATGCAACATAGTTCTCGTAGAGCTTTTACTTCAAATGTTGTGAAACCCTCAAATCCGTGCCAACCACAGACTCTTAGGAAAGAAGCCTCTCAAGTGGATACCATAGCCCACAAAGTTTTTTAGCTTGTGGCACCACATCTCTCATCTTCTCAGAATTCTTCATCCAGTGCTGTGTGTGCACATTACACAAGCACTTTTCATAATGTAGAAGATTGCCCCACACCAGAGCAATTTTCTGGAGGCATGCTAGAACAAGCCAATGCCATGTTCTCTCGCCCTGGAAATAATCCTTATTCCAATACCTACAATCCGGGTTTGAGAGATCATCCAAATTTCTCGTGGAGGCAACAAGCCTCACAAAATTCATCATTTCAGGGTTATGGGCAATCAACTCAATCTAATTCTCAGTCTATGAACCAGCCATTCCAAGCTTCTTCAAGCTACCGTCCTCCTTTCTATAATGTGAGCTCTTCTAATCAAAATCCTACTGCTCCTTCCCCGTCTCAATTGGATGAGATATTAAATTCCAATAAGTAGATAATGGCTGCCATTAGTGGTATGCAATCAACTGTGCAATTGGTTAATACTCATTCCCAATCAATAGCCAACATTGAAACCCAACAGGGACAATTGGCTATTTCTGTGAACCTGTTTCATAAGAGGGACACGGGAAAACTTCTAGTCCAATCTATGGTGAACCCGAAAGGGCAATATATGATTAATGAAATCACTCCTCCGAATGGTTCAAATCTTGAGTAAATTCAAGCAATCACCACACTTCGGAGTGGAAGAATTGTGGACAATAAGGTTGATGAAAAAACTAAAACTCTTGCTCCCAAGAATTCAAGTTTTTCACCCAAAAATCTGAAAGTGAGTCAAGAAATTCCAAATTCGCTAATTCCAAATGTTGAGACATCTTATGAGCCCAAGGCTCCTTTTCCTCAACGCCTCAAAGAGTTTACACACTTTGGAAAAAGGGCGATAAAATTCAAGAAATGTTTGAGGTCTTTAAGTAAGTAAAGATCAACATTCCTCTCCTTGATGCCATGAAGCAAATTTCACTTTATACTAAATTTCTCAAAGATTTGTGTACTCAAAAACGCATTTCTAGGAGTAATAGTCCCAAGAAGGTGAGGTTAACTGAGCAAGTAAGTGTTATCATTCAGCATAATACACCTCCGAAGTTTAGGGATCCGAGTGCCCTGACAATCTCGTGTTTCATTGGAGACAAGCCCTCCTTGACTTAAGATCAAGTGTAAACCTGATCCCTTCCTCAGTATGTTTGCAACTTGGCTTAGGAGAACTCAAACCAACCACGGTTGTCTTGCAACTTGCAGATATATCTGTCAAATAACCTCGTTGTATCATAGAGGACGTACTTATTCAGGTGGACAAGTTCTACTTTCCAGTAGACTTCTTGGTTTTAGATACTGAACTAGTTCACGATCCTAAAAGACACATTCCTGTGATCCTTGGTCAGCCCTTCTTAGCCACGGCTAATGCTTTAATTAATTGTCGAACCGGGGTGATGGATATTTCTTTTGGAAATACGAAAGTGAAACTTAACATCTTTAGTGCTTCTCATCATCCTCCGGAAGAATATGAGTGTTTTTCTCTTGACATCATAGATGAAATGGTCGAAGAACCTCTCCTATTCGTTCTAGGTCAAGATCCTCTTGAAACTTGCTTGGCTCATTTTGGCTTCGAAGATTATAATATTGATCAATCCATTCGTGAAGTTAACTCTTTACGTGAGGCCAATGCAATTTGGGACTTTTCTTCTTGGAAGTTGCTAAAGGAACCTCTTCCATTAATTTCCAGCACTCCTCCTATTCCTTCGCTGAAATCTCCACCTCAACTTGAGTTAAAGCCACTCCCGGCTAATCTCAAGTATGTATTTCTTGGTACAAACAAAACTCTTCCGATCATTATTGCATCGGATCTTTCTAAAGACCAAGAAGATAGCCTTTTAGCGGTGTTACAAGAGCACAAAGAAGCTATTGGTTGGTTGATGGCTGATTTAAAAGGAATTGACCCCTCCATTTGCATGCACCGCATTCTTTTGGAGGAAGAGGCGACATCTTCCTAAGAGGTGCAGTGCCGGTTGAATCCTAACATGAAGGAGGTTGTCATGAAAGAGGTAATCAAGTTATTAGATGCATGAATCATTTATCCCATCTCGGATAGCAAGTGGGTATGCCCCACTCAAGTTGTTCCAAAGAAATCCGATCTCACCGTTGTTGAAAATTCGGTGGGGGAACTTGTGCCATAACGCACCACCACTAGTTGGCGTGTGTGTATAAATTATCGGAAACTCAATTCTGCAACTAGGAAAGATCATTTTCCACTTCTATTCATTGATCAAATCCTAGAAAGGCTAGCTGGCCAAAGTTATTACTGTTTTCTTGATGGTTATTCCGGCTATAACCAAGTGGCCGTAGATCCTCAAGATCAAGAGAAGACCACTTTCACTTGTCCTTTTGGAACTTTCGTTTATCATCGCATGCCCTTCGGGTTATGTAATGCACCGGCCATTTTTTAAAGATACATGATGTCCATATTTTCTGATATTGTTGAAAAATTTCTTGAAGTATTTATGGACGATTTTTCTATTTTTGGATCTTTCTTTAACTCTTGTCTCCATAATCTATCTCTTGTGCTTCAAAGATGTAAAGAGACCAATTTGATCTTAAGTTGGGAAAAAAGTTATTTCATGGTTCAAGAAGGGATTGTCTTGGGACATATTATTTCTAAAAGAAGGATTGAGGTCGATAAGGCAAAAGTTGAATTAATTCACAGCCTTTTTCTTCCTTCTCCGGTGAGACAAATTCGATCTTTTCTTGGCCATGCTGGCTTTTATTGCCCCTTCGTCAAAGACTTTAGCAAGATATCTCAGCCTTAAAGCTATCTTTTTACCAAAGATACTACTTTCAACTTTGATGAAACATGTTTGGAAGCTTTTAAGAAGCTCCGTTCATTACTCTCTTTCGCCCCAATCATGAAACTACCTAATTGGTCTCTTCCCTTTGAGATCATGTGTAATGCATCTGACTAAGCATTAGGTGCTGTTTTGGGCCAGTGTGTGGATAAAGCTCCTCATGTCATTTGCTACGCTAACAAGACCCTCTCAGATGCTCAATTTAATTATACAACAATTGAGAAAGAGTTGCTAGCTATTGTCTATGCCTTGGACAAATTTCATTCATATCTTCTTGTATCCAAGGTCATTGTCTTCACGGATCATGCTGTGTTAAGGCATCTGCTTGCAAAGAAAGAAACCAAACCTCGACTCATTCATTGGATATTCTTACTCCAAGAGTTCAACCTTGAGATTAAGGACAAGAAAGGCACTGACAATGTTGTAGCAGACCATTTCTCTCAATTTCTCATTGAGAACACTTCTGATTTTTCTCCAGTTCATGATTCCTTTCTGGATGAGCAACTGTTTCAGATTTCTCATGTGTCGCCTCCTTGGTTTGCTGACATTGTCAACTATCTTGCAGTTGGAAAAATTCCATCCCAATGGTCTAAACAAGAGAAAGATCGGTTCTTCGCTCAAATTAAAATTTTCTTTTGGGAAGACCCGGAATTGTTCAAGTATTGCCCAGATCAAATAATCCGGAGATGCATTCCTGAAAATGATGTCCAAAATATTTTAAAGTTCTGCCACACTCTCGAATGTAGAGGATACTTCAGTGTTAAAAAGACTTTATCTAAAGTCCTTCAAAGTGGATTTTATTGGCCTTCATTATTCAGGGACGCTTACAATTTTTGCAAGTCTTGTGAACGATGTTAAAAGCTTGGGGCCATGTTTAAAGAGACATGATGTCATTGAACTCAATTTTAATTGTTGAAATCTTTGATGTATGGGGAATAGATTTTATGGGACCATTTCCATCTTCCTAAGGCTATTTCTATATTCTCTTAGCGGTGGATTATGTATCTAAATGGATAGAGGCTAAGGCAACCATAACCAATGACCACGATGCAGTGGTCAAGTTCATTCAAATGAACATATTCAGTCGGTTTGGTACACCTACAGCACTCTTAAGTGACGGAGGATCTCATTTCTGAAATCGCTATCTTCGATCCATCCTCCTTAAGTACTTTGTCACTCATAAGGTTGCTACGCCTTACCATCCTCAATCGAGTGGTCAAGTAGAAGTCTCAAATTGGGAAATCAAAAATATTCTTGAAAAGAC